ACCATACATCTAAAGTCCATCCGAAACCATAGTATGTCATTCACTTATTCAATGAGGAGACATACAAAATACCGTCCAGATAAGCACCCAACTTATTCAGTTGAAGTGACTTAACTACAACCAATTAATCCAGGAAGTCTCTCAACCTAGTCAGTTGATTCGACTTAAACATATTAATGGATTCCATATTTTACAATCCATATTTTCCATCCGGTAGGTTAGGTTAGCGTTTTTAAGCTAAACCATCCCCTAGTATGCCACTGTCCCATACCAGTGCATACAATCGTCCATAACACATTAATGGATTCCATATTTTACAATCTATATTTTCCATCCGGTAGGTTAGGTTAGCGTTTTTAAGCCAAACCATCCGTATGCCACCGTCCCATACCGGTGCATACAATCCTCCATAATCATACATATTATAACATATAAACAATTATTAAGTGATTTACAGTCCAAACCCTCATCCAAGTAATTGCAGAAGAACAGTTTATATTCTAGCAATTTAAATCCGAGCAAAAATTCAGGTAATTGCAGAAAAGATTAAATCTGTCAACCATTTATATCCAGAGCATGTATATAACACATTTATTAAATAGATGACCCTAATATGCATTTAGAATCAACATATAAGCTCATGTTAATCTACTGGATTCACAAAGTTTAGCCTAAGCAACTAAGTCTTCTTCCATCCGTTAATCGTATACAATGTGCATAATTTTTCTACAATTTGTTCCGTTAATTCAGAGGCAAGCTTTGATCAATCAAGGATCCTATTAGCACTTAAAATTAGCTTCTTAGTCACACTGAAAAGTCCAAGAATTTTTAGACATAGTTCAGACACTCAAAACTCCAAACAGCTTGATAAATTCAACTTCAGAACAAAGTTTGAGAGAGAGCCTGCTCTACTTTTGAAAGAGCAGGCTCTTGGAATTCCTAGAGCCTCCTCTTAGGAGGGTAGAGCCGAATCTACCTCTCCTAGAGCCAGCTCTTCAATGGGGGAGCCGACTCTATGCATTCCAGAGCTTTACCTCTCCTAGAGCCGGCTCTTCAATGGGGGAGCCGGCTCTATGCATTCCAGAGCCGGCTCTTTCCTCCTCCTCGAGCCTCCTTCAACCTCTGTTGCTCCTGCGACTTTCTGCAGTAATTTCGCCCATTCCCAACCTGTATAGTTGGTTATAAACTGACCCTAAGAGTCCCATCTAAGTCCAGAATAAATCCTAAGATGTGTTTTATAGCAGTTAAATACAAAAATAGATGCTACAGATTCTTTAGATTTTTCATGCTTCAAGAAACAAATAAATCACAGACACGCACAAACTGTAACTGAACAAATTTTCACACATACAGAACATTGATATAACATCTATTATACCTAAGAAACTCAGTTAAAAGTTTAATTAAATCCTAGAGGCTATCTAGGTGCACAGAACACATGCAAAGGGAAGAAGAAAGAAAAGAACTTGCCTGTTCAAACTTTGCTTGTTCCGGCAATACAAACCACTGTCAAGCCTCCTCTGCTTCTAGTTAGTCCACCACCATACCTCCTTGGTCCTCTCTATTCCTCCCTTGACGGACCCTACAATGCTCTTTTCTTACAAAACCCCTCTCTATTTCACTCTGTAAATTTGAGACGTAAATAGAATTCTCGTATTCCCAAAACCCTATATCCACACACTGTTTTATATATATAGAGACGTAAAATAAATCCCGATTCCCTGTAGGTGTAGAGATAGAGCCCTAATCCTAATCCTTGTTGGCCCATAACAAAACCTACGTCTTAAACAGTGTCGGCTACATACGAACTCCATTATATAGTTAACACTATAACCTAATGTAATAAATAAAACCTTAAACTTAATCCAATTAAAATAACCCACGAAATTGAAATAAGTAAACAAAAATAATTAACTAACATAATCCATCAATTAAAATAAAAGAATTAAGTAAAACAAAATCAAATTTAAATAACCATAAAATAAACACACAATTAAAATAACCAATTAAATAAAATAACACACAATTAAACAATTAAATGAAGGATTAAACAATTAAATAAATGCCAGGACTATCCTTTTAAAATTAGGGGTATTACATTAACGCACTAGTTTGCACTCACACCCCTGAGGTTTCAAAAGTCATATTTACCCCTGAACTTGTTAATTGACAAAAATAACCCTAATCAATATTTTGCATTCCCCTCACCCACCACCGCCACACCCATACACCGCTGTAACCCACGCAAACTACAACCTTCACAACCCATGCACATTACAATTGCCGCACATCACAATAACCACCGCACACACCCACCACCACAATCACAATACCCGCCGCCACACACACACTGCATTTGGGTCAAACCCATACACCCCACCACAATCACCGCCATACCCACACACCCATACACTGCCCAAGCAAGTTGTTGAACCATAGAGATCGATTTTAACCCTACCCTCGCGAAATTACCGGTGGCGAAGAGAAGATCTATGTTCGCCGCTGCAATTGTTGAAACTGGTGGCATCACTGAGTAAATCTTTGTTCGCCACTGCAATCATCGATCATGCCTCTAATTCGTAGAGGGCTTTTGCCTCTAATTCATGAGCGGTGGTGGCTTTTGCCTCTGATCTTGTCGCTTCTGATCGATGGCAATGGTGGTGGTTGCTTCTGATTGTTGGTGGTGGCGGCAGTGGTATGGTGGGTTTCTCATGAAGGGGCGGCGATGGTGGTGGGTGGTGTTAGGACAGAGAGGGTATGGGAGGATGGAGATAAAGATAGAGAGGGTATATGTTGTGGGTATCAGGTGGTGTATGTAATAGTGGGGTTAAAGAGAGAATGTAAAATGAAGGGAATTTTGGTCCTTTAAAATTTAGTTTATAGGGTTATATTAGTAATTTACCCTTTTTAAGTATTTGTTGACTAAGTCAAGGGTTAAAATGGTCATTTTCTAGGGTAGAGGGGGGTCTTTATGTAAACGTTTGAAACCTCAGCGGGTGTCAATGTAAACTAATGCGTTGACTATCTGTTGAGTGGCGTTGACCCAAACCTCAGGGAGTGTGAGTGCAATTTACCCAAAAATCTTAAACTCTATCCATTACTCCTAATAATTATATACACAAAATTGTTCTTCTAATTTTATTTTTGATCATTTTTAATTTATTTTTCGTCTCAATTAAATATCCTTTTCAAAAATTTAACTTTTTAAGAGGATGAATTTTAATATATATATATATATATATATATATATATATATATATATATATTTGTATTGGTAGTGAATGAATTACCAAATATGTCCATATTGGGTCCACAAGAAATGATGGTTTACTTTTTATAAGTTTAATGTAAGAAGGTAAAATTGATAATGTTACAAAAAGGAGTACTTTAACTTTTTAAATGGGAGACAGCCAAAAATGGACATTTAATTTGAGACGGAGGGAATATATTATTTTTTCTCTCTTCAAAATAAAACCCAAATCCATTAGTTTTAACCCAATTCTAGAAAACGCTAAATCTTGTTCTCTTCATTTTCCTACAGGGATTTAGAACCAAGACATCTCTGCGATGTAATCTCATATGAGGGATACTTATGAGCATATGCGTTATGTCAGTAAACACTAGGGGTGCACAGGTCCAGTTTGGTCCAGTTTTGAGGATTTTTGAACCCAAACCGCTCCCTATGGTTCCAGAAAATCTGAAATCGAATAAGACCATTTGAGCAATAGAACAAACCAGCCCAAATCATGAAAAAAGGTTTGATTCGGTTTGTTTCCATAGTTCTAGTTGAATTTTATTTTCTAATTTTTTTTCCTTGAATTGTCTATATAACAAAAATATAAATAAAAGCATTTAGATTCCCAATTCCAAGATTAAAATATAAAGAGAAAAAAATGAGGGGAAAGTGGGTGAAATAGATCCAAAAACTAAACCCTAGAAATTAAAATAAGGTTGAATCTTGCTGAAACTGAAAAGGATGACAAATTCGTGGTTGAAAACTAAGAAACTTGATTCATTGTCGTTGTTGGTTGTGCTTGAGGTGCAAACACGCCGTGAAACTCAAAGATATGTGAACTGAAAGTAAGAGAGTAGGGGAGAGAGTGTGAGAAAGATGATGTTACTGACGGCAACGATAAAAGATCAACGACGATGACCTAACTTTGAAGATTGCTTGAAAAGGGTTCATAAACAACTGGATCCCGTGGCGATTAGAACTAAGAAGTGAATAAGGTTGTGTGAGTACAGAAAAAAAAAAATGATATAGTGGAGGAATGTGGGCACCCACCCAAAAATTAAAACATTGGGAGAAGCAAAAGCAAATAAAAAAATATCAGATGATGATGAATGTTGGCTCCCGTTTGATCTTTGTGCCGAAATCTCTTACAAAATAAAGAATAATATATAGGTGTGTGTGTATGTATATATATATATATATATATATATATATATATAATATAACATATATTTATATACATATTATAACGGTTCGGTCTGAGTCAGTCTGGTCCTGTAGGACCTTAATCTGGGACTGAATAAAAAATTCACGATTCCATTATTTTGAAACTATGACCGGACCAAACCGCTATAAAACCGGCCCAGACCACCCGATTCGGTCCGGTCTGATCTGGTTTGACTTTTCGGGTTGATAGTTTTTTTGCACACCCCTAGTAAATGCAATTTGATTATTGAGTGACTAGATGAAGGTAGCATTTTTGTGACCTAACCCTTTGTCTAGAGATTGCAGCAGACAATGATTGGACCCGAATTTGGGTTGGGGTCGGACCTGGGTTGGCCCCATCCAATTTGGCACTCCAAAGGACTTTTGTCCATTGTGAATTAGTAATATATTAATGGACTGAAAAGCTTCTCACAAGATGTGTATTTGCTGTTCAGCCCTGCTAGCCCGGTTGTGAGAGGTTGGTTGTGAAATCAGGGCCGGTTCTGGCCCAAGGCGGTTGCCTTGGGCCTTTGATTTTTGAGGGCTTCAAATTTTGAGTCCCATGTGATGGGAAAAAAAACAAACAAAAAAAAAAAAAACATAGGACGCAGCCTCCGCTATCGCCTCCGGCTCAGGTGACACCGTGACGAGGTATGTTCACTCTCTCTCCCTCTCTCTCTCTCTCTCTCTCTCTCTTCTCTCTCCTTTTGTATGAATCGATCTTTTTGTTTTCCTCTCCCTAAGTCCACTCTGGTCTCACAACAGCAGCAACCATACCCCTTTTCGTCATAATTTTTTGCATTTTCACATTCAATCCTACGAAAATTAAGGATCCCTTCTAATGGGTTGAGGACCTGAGGTAATAATTGACTTTTTCGATCTCAAAATTATGCTCATACTTAAAAGTGCCATATTAAGGGTTTTTTTTTTTTTTTTTGAAGATACATGCGACCATTATTGATGTTATTTGAAGTTGGCTCAGCTAGAATTTCAGTTAATAATACTGTCAAAGGCTCAAAGCACTTGCCATCAGAATGTACAAACACATGGAAATCAAGAGCAGGCTTTAACAAAACAAAAGTTAAGCTCCATTGAAAACTTCAGCAAGGAGATCATTCGACCAAATTGCTTGATTTTAGATTTTTTTAATATTATATTTATTGTTTGATCGGCAATGCTTAGTTATTATTGTTTCCGTATGATTCTCCATCCATTTTATGTTAATTGTTATCTTCTTTCACATGCTAGCAGGACACTCTTCTTAGGATCTCGCGAGGTTATTTGCCTTGAACATTTACTTTGATATAAAATTGAATTTGGATTTTTGTGACTAAGTTGTGTTGAATAGTTTCTTTTAATTTTTTTGATGTAAACTAGATCGTGCTCTTTTTAAAGCACCAAGACCGGGTTTTCTTTTGTGTGTTTTCAACATTAATATATTTTATGTTCTTATCATCTCATATTAATGAAAATTCCGCATTCTTGTAAATTTTTTGTGCCTGTGAAAATTTTGCACTCTTTAATTGATAGATTTATTGTTATTAGTTATGTGTCTTATGCACTTTGCATAGGCGCACAATTATTTATTGGTGGTTATAGATTTATAGTTATTAGTTAGTTGTCTTATGCAAATTGCACAAGTGCACTGTGCACAATTATTTATTGGTGGTGATAACAATATATAGTTATTAGTTAGTCGTCTTAAGCGCAGTGCACAGACACACAATTATTTATTAGTTAGATGCCCACTGTATAGACGCACAATTATTTATTGATGGTGATAAATTTATAGTTATTAGTTAGTTGTCTTATGCATAATGTACAAGCGCATAATTATATTAGCTATAGAATTTGAAAACATCTAGTGAAAATTCCGCACTCTTATAATTTTTTTTTTTTTGCGCGTGTGAAAGTTGCCTAGGGCCTCTCAAAATATTTGAAATCTCAGGGCCGGCCCTGTGTGAAATGCCTGCCTCCAAAGCTAAAAAGCTAAGTTCGCTGTTCCGTTCCGCCATTAAAACCACCTCCAGAGTCGACGACAGAACCCTAAAACAGTTCGTCTCATCCATCGATTCGTCTCCTGCCACTCAACGTTCCATTAAGATTAGGTTACCGCATAATAAGCCACTGTCTCCATCCAACAACTTCGATGCAGCACCGTCACGTCGTCATGGTACGCATCTTCTTCTTCTTCGTCTCCTTCTCTGAATGCTTACGTTTGGTTCTCGAGAAAATTAAGGGAAAAGAATTCAAATTTCTAAATAAGAAACTTTTTATTTTTTATTTTTATAATGATTTATGCCTAAACCAGAAATGTTTGATTAATTTCATCTTCTTTATCTCACATCACTTCATTGTCACAACAGCAGAGCATTCAGCGAAGCAACTATCAAGGGAGATATCTGCCTTATTATGTGGTATGTGTTTGAAAAAAAGAAAAACAGAATTGAAAATTTAAATCTTAAACCAAGTATTTCGACCACATGCTTCCCCTTTTTCCTTTTGCTTCTTTGTTAATAATTGGGGAAAAAAAAAATTGTAATTGTTTTCTTTTCTTCGCTGTTATTATTTTGGAGGAATGGTTAGACTCAAGAGAGTGTAGAAAGTTAATGTATTGCTGTTATGGTCAAGTTGTTATTAGTTTGAATACTAAGAATAGAAAGGCCTACAATTTCCACCAGGTCATAAGTCTTGTCCTATATGGGCCTCACTTACATTTTTTTGTTTTTTTTTTCCTTTTGAAATCTTGTTCTCTTAAGGTTATTCTCATTTGCAGGTGGTAAAGATTCGGATTTGGTTAGTTCACCTGATTCACAAGTGAGCAATTCTCTAGAAAAAGTTCTAGACATACCATGGTTCTCAAGCTTGTCACACAACAACATCTCACTCCAACGGAAAGAAATATCACGTGAAAGAAAGCAAAAGTGGGTTTTTAAGAGTTCACAAACTCATCGTTTTGGGCGGTTGGTTAGAATGTGTGCAGAAAAACTGGGTACAGATGCTACCATTCAGGTATTTGGTAAATTAGGACGAGAAACAGGTATTAAAGAATACAATGCATTAATAGGACTTTGCGTAGAGAAGGCTAAGAGAAGTAAGGACGAAGAAGTTTCATTACAACAGGCTTACAAGGCTTTTCAGCTGTTTAAGTCAATGAGGGAACAGGGATTTCCGCTTGAAGAAGAAACTTATGGTCCCTTCCTTGTGTATTTGATTGACATGTGCATGGTAGAAGAATTCCAATTTTTTTGTGGAGTAATCAGAGATGAGAATCCTAATTCACTTTCGAGATTAGCTTACTACGAGATGATGCTTTGGATTAGAGTTGATAACGAAGACAAAATTCAAGAGCTATGCAATTATATTCCCGCTACTGCTGATGGTGGCAAACCCAACATTCGAGGTATATTGTTTTGCATGCATATTTGTTTGGCTGGTATCTTGTACGAGGTACCATGACATCTTTCTTTTAACGTAGTGTTGAAATTCACTGGCTAGAGTAGGTTTTACTGGAACAAGATAAAGGTTGTCAATCAATTGTTTGTATAGGTTTTACTAGAGTAATTTTTTTTGGAGTCTTTTTTGATTAATGATAAAGGTTTCATACATACTTTCAATTACACAACTTAACCGTGTGTAAGGATGATGCCGGCAGAATTTCAAATTTCTGCAAGAGAATTTTTGTTTTCCAGAAACTTTCCATATTTTGAAAGTTTCGTTATTTTGAACAGTTTTCTTATTTTCATCAGCTTTCCTTTTTGAGTAGTTTTCTGATTTTCAGCCTATTTCCTGTTTTGGTTTTATTTTATATTTGGTAGTTAGCTAATATAAGGCTACGATTGGTGAGGAAGAAATTCTATATATCAAGCCTTGTAATTTCTAGGGTTCAATCAATTTTTTTTTTGAAGAGATTATTCTTATTTTTACAGCAAATAAAATTTGCTTTGCAATTTCTCCTTTTCTCTTGCATCGTTCTTTTATTTCGTTTTAAAATTGCTGTGAAAGACAATTTGATTGTCTCCTCTTGGTAAGCCGGCATCAGTTTGGTATCAAAGCTTTGGTTCAGCTTTCCGACTGCTCAATCATGCCTCCACGACAACTACCGAGAGGAGGAAATCGTAGGTTGCAGAATTTGGCTGAACCCTTACCCAAACAACATGAAAGCGAGATAGAGTTTTTGCGGAGACAAGTTGAGTTGTTGACTCAACTATTGGGTCAACTTGTTGTCAACACGTTGGTTGTTGACAATGTTTTGGTGGATGATGATGTGTCAGACACTGAGACTATTGCCAAAAATTTATTCTATTTTTCGCGTCGCCATAAATCACTCGATGGGCGGACTGATCGTTGTTGGCCAACAAATATCAATTTTCAGATTTCAGATTTTTATGAAGAGGATTTTTTGAATCCTTTTTGCAGCAATACAACACCTAAACCAACACCTATTCTACTTGATGAAAGTCGTTTGGATGGTGAGTTTATGGAGGAAATTCCTGAATTGGTAGAAAATTTTGGTGGAGAAGAAAAACAACTTTTGATCGAGGAAGATGATGCAACCCTAATGGTCAAGCCAAAATATGATGAGTCCTGCATTTCGTCCGTGAGATTTTCGATTCTGGTGAACGGGTCTCCAACTGGTTTCTCTGCTAACCCTTGGGGCTTTAGACAGGGGGATCCTCTTTCTCCGTTTTTCTTTATCATTATTATGGAGGCTCTCAACATTGATGAGGAGGGCTGTGAATTTGGGCTTCATCAAGGTTTTAGAGCGGGTAGAGATGCAGCTTACTAGATGGAGATTTCTTATTTGTTGTTTGCGGATGATACTTTGGTCTTTTGTGATGCTGATGTGTCCCAGCTGAGATATTTGAAGTTTGTACTAGTTTGCTTTCAGGAAGTCTTTGGTCTAAAAGTTAGTTTGGGCAAGAGCGCTTCAAATATTTGAGGTGTGTACTAGTTTGCATTCAGGAAGTCTCTGGTCTGAAAGTTAGCGTGGGCAAGAGCGCTCTTGTCCCTGTGGGGGAGGTTCAGGATATTGCCTCTCTTGCCGTGGTTCTTGGGTGCGGGGTCAGTTCTTTCCCTATTTCATATTTGGGGTTGCCTTTGGGCTCTTCTTCGAGGAGAGTGGGGGCCTGGGATCCCGTGATTAAACGGTTTGAGAGAAGACTTGTTGGGTCAAAGAAGCTATCTATCGAAGGGTGGAAAGGTCACTCTTATGAAGAGCACGTTGTCCAGTCCCCCCACATACTTCTCTCTTTTCCATATTCCGGCTTCCATGGTTGATAGGATTGAAAGACTTCAGTGGAGTTTCCTTTGGGGTGGTTTGGGGGAGGAGTTTAAGTTTCATCTCGTTTGTTGGGAGCGGGTGTGTAGACCTATTCAATTGGGCGGATTGGGCATTAGGAGGTTGATCCCTTTTAATAGGGCTCTCTTAGGGAAGTGGTTGCGGAGATTCGAAGGTGAGCGTCATTGATTATGGAGGAGGGTTATTTCGTGCCGATTTGGGGAGGAGAGAGGTGGTTGGTCCTCTCATGTGATTAGATCAGCTGGATGTGTTGGTGTTTGGAAGTTCATTCGGAAGGGTTGGGATGAATTTTCTAAAACGATTTGGACTTCGAGACGGTAGAGGCATTCGGTTTTGGGAGGAATTATGGAGTAGTGATTGTCCGTTGGCCTGTTCTTTTCCCATGCTTTTTAGGATTGCCGTTGATAGACACACCTTGGTTGCGGACCATTCTCGGCTTGATAAGAGAAGGATTACTTGGGATGTGCGGTTTCAGCAACATTTTTAAGACGGGGAGTTAGGCCTGTCAATGGATCGGATTTGGATGGGATCGATCAAATCCATATCCGATTTGTTAAGCAAACATATTATTGGATTCAGATCACTAACGGGTTCTTGGACTGAATATCCCAATCCATATCCTATTAAGCTTGGCACTCGGATCGAATCGGATTCGAATTCGAATTTAAATCATATTTACTAACATATATAATTATAAAGTTAGATGAAGTGGAGAATTACTAATATACAGAATGCTACATAATATAACTATGCAACCAAATAAATATAATGATAAATAATTAATATATATAAATTTAGTAATATATAACTAATATATATAACATTGATGTGAACACCACACTATTAGTATGTATATTAAGAGATTTATTAGCATGTGGATGAGAACACCACACTCGTGTATATATATCATTATGATTTTTTTTTTTTTTAATCGAGTTACCTCTAATACAATTCTAATAGGAGTATTGATATAAATATGTAAAATTATTGATAAATAATTATATATATAATTATTTATATATATAATTTTAATCGGATCGGATCAGCATAATCCATATTCGATTTGTTAAGCTAACGGATTATCGGATTCGGATCATAATCGGGTTATCGGATTTTTTATTCAATCCATATCCGACTAATCGAATCGGATCGGGATCAGAATCCGCTCCATTGACAGGTCTACTAAGAGTTGGATGACGTTTTCGGTTTTCTGGATCTCTTGTATAGACAGAAGCTAGATGGTAGAGGCCCAGACTCCCTTATTTGGGTGCCCTCTCCTCGGGGGAGATTTGAGGTCCGTTCTTTGTTCTATTGCTTTTCGGACTTATCAGGCGCTGGTTTTCCTTGGAAGGTTTGGCGCTCGAAGGCTCCTCTTAAAGTGGCCTTTTTGTTTGGACTGTAGTTTGGGCCGTGGCATGTTGACGCTTGATAACCTGAGGAGGAGGAGAGAGGTTACTGTTAATTGGTGTTGCATGTGTATGAGGGATAGAGATTTTGTGGATCACCTTCTTTGCATTGTCCTATGGCTCATGACTATTGGAGTCTTATATTTGGCTTGTTTGGTGTCCAGTGGGTTATGCCTCGGTCTCTGAGGAGATTGATTGATGCTTGGAAAGGTTGTTTTGTGTGATCCCATGCCCATGATTTTTGGAAGGTGGCTCCCTTTTGTGTTTGGTGGTGCATTTGGAAGGAACGAAATAGAAGATCTTTTGAGGGGAAGGAATCTTCCATCGGGGCTTTGAATTTTTTTATTATTATTATTATTTTTTTTGTTGGGTGATGGGGTGTAAATCTATAGAGGAGATTGTTGATTTTTTGGGTTCTTTGGGTCCATAGGACCTTCTTCTTGGGCTTTCGCCTTTGTGTAGCTTGCAGGATGCGTTCCCATTTTGAATGCTTTCTAATACATTTTTACTTACAAAAAAAAATAAAAAAAAATCCGATTCCTTTACGTTAAGCCGATATGGATCTGAGTTCATTACACCGCACCCGCGACAGCTAACCATGATAAACACATACAAACACATATTCACGCACACATCCACACATGCACAAATATTCACACACACAGGCACACATACACAAATATACACAAACACATGCATACATACGCAATATACATGAACACATGCGCGAACACATAGACACTCATGTAGGCATATACAAACATATCTGCAACCATATATATATACACATATAAACCTATATTCTATGAAATTGAAGTTTTCAATTCAATTCCAATTATGTTAACCCAAAGCACCCTGAGAACAATTGTAGGAAGAAAAAATGAAATTTCAATTTCTGTAAGCTTTAATCAACGATCAACAATGAGCCCCTATATTTTTGCTCTACTTATGGGATACACTGACACGACACGTCCTCGATGAGGTTTGAATGTTTTATGTTATTTGCCGATCACATTGTTTTGATTAATGAGATTAGAATAGGAATAAAATATAAAAATAGAGGTTTAGATAAAAGTTCTAGAATAAATAGGGTTCAGATGAATAAGTCTAAACCAAATATTCGGAACCTAAAATTAGCAAAACTACGAATATAATTAAAGTGAGTGTATAGTAATGATCAATAATCAAGGGAAACCAGAAAATGATTTATTAACTAGGCTCAAACTATTCAAAGAGAGGGAGGGACTAGAGATGTTGCTCACATATTTTAAAGTTGGTTGGTTCAGTGAAGTACTGTATTTACCATACAACGTCAATTTTACATCTTAATTTGTAAGGTAAATTATATGAAACAACTATTATACACGATCATACTTTACGGGATGGTCTAAAATTATAGTCGGCTGGTTTCGGCTTCCTGTGTATTTTTTTGGGTGCGCTCCCCTATTGAGCGCATTGTAATGAAATCTTACTATTGAAAAAAAAAAAAAAAAAAAAAATATTATGGGATAGACTGTTGGGAAGTTATAAAACATACACTTCAAATTTGGTGTTGGCAGAAATTAGAGATAGATTTATGGCAAGACAAGAATAGAAATGGCAATATTTGTGTGAGGACGAAGTACCACCCATTTGGTATAAAATCGGAGAAAATTGACTAAGATGGTTTGATCATGTGTGACGAAGACCAATACTTGCACCAAATTAAGATACTGTCAAGGAAAATAAAGGGCAAATAAAAGTGGTTGAGATAATAAGGAAAGATTTTATAATGTGATTAACTAAAGTTATGGCTTTAAAAAGAGTAGAAAGGCAAACTTAATTCATGTAGCCACACCAAATCAGGAGGACAAGATTTCATTAAACAATGATCCTTTGTTGTGGATTATGCTAGTTGCTCGACTGAAAATTAGAAGTGTTAAAAAATACTCTCCTTAGGTTAGGATATGACTAAAAACACTTAATTATTAAGCAGTGCCTATAACTTAACCAGTTAATAAAATTGATGAGGTATAAAGTCAATTAGATATTCTTTTTGTTCTGGTGAATCTTTTTAATTTATCTTTTCTGAATTCACATTTTTAGATAGTTTGAAACTTAAAAATAAAGATCACATCATTCTCAAATATATAGTATTGCATGTTGTGATGCTATGGCACGAATTTGGTGCCAGGTCGCAACGACCCATTGGGCTGGGCTTGGTCCCAAGGAAAATTTTTGACTCGTTTTTGCTCATGGGTCTTGGACCCTAATTAGTACTCTCTTGATGCCCAATATATAAGGGCGCTTAGGGTTTGGAGTCTGATGATCAAGAGACACTGAAAAATTGTACGCAGAGAGAGAGTGGGGTTGAAACTTGTAAACTCCGATTTTACACATAGTGAAGACTTTCGCCGGATCTCCACTGTGGATGTAGGCTTTGCCGAACCACGTATAAATCTTTGTGTTCTTTGTGTGGTGTGTTTATTTTTCAGTCGTGTTTCATAATTGTTGCTTGGTTTGCTGTGTTTGTTGTAGCACATGTGCATGTATTGGCACTTGTTCAAAATCATCTCAAATCATGATTTAACTGACACAATGCTTGGTTGGGGGAATAGAAGAGAAGAAAAAAGAACGTTTTGAAATATATCCTTCTCTTATAGCTTGGTTCATTTGACGAGGAGAGAAGAAATGTGGAGTGATTAAGAGAGAAAATATCTCCCCAGGAACAAAAAAACTATTACCTCAAAATGCGGTGATTTGAAGTGATTTAGTTAGATGTATAACATTTAGTTAGATGTATAACATTCCGGCACAAACTACGAGTGAATAAAACAGGGAATGGGTTAACCCACCTTTCCTTTTCCTTTATTTCGCTCCGCTTATTTTCTGTACTTAAAATGGATGAATTCTGAGCTTTCTTTTGTCTCGTATACTTTTCACTTACCCTATTCTTTTTAAGTAACAAAGCAAATGGTGTAAGATTTTTGGAGTATTCCCACCTTAAAATCTTCTATGATATTTTCTAACATAGTTTTTGTTTGTTGGCATGCAGAGAATTATTTGTTAGCTTTGTGTGAAAGTGACCGGAAGAAGGAGCTTTTGCTGCTATTAGATATTGTTGACATAACGAGAATTTCATCGCCAGACCATGTAGCAACTATTTTCAAATCCTTGGGGAGGCTTCTTTTGGAGCCCTATGCAGAGAAATTCATTTTGGCATTCAAAACCTGTGGTATGTTCACGATTTTCTATTTCTAATTAGATGGGTATTTCCAATATTGTTGCTTTAGTATAGTGTTAAGGTCCTACATGAAGTAAGTTACTGATGGAATTGGCACCAGTTAAGTGAGATTTTAAGTAGTATTTTTTTTTTTTTTGGAAGTTCTGTTTTTAATAAAAAAACTGAAAAGTTTGTCATTAGAGAATGTTTTTAATTTAGAATAACATTCTTGTGGACTTAGCATGTAGAAGTAATTTACTTAAATGATCATATCTTTAAATTATTACCGTCTTATTGCATTGTGAAATTGTTATTCCTTTGCATCTTACAGCAAATACACTTGAATATATGATGCCTACTAAAACTATATTGCGTCAGTAATTTGGATCTGGGTTTCTTTAATTGGCTGTGACTCGAGTCTTCATTTGTTCTTTACAGCATTGTGTTTCAAGGGCTCTGTATTTAGGTTCTCTTGTTAAATGCAGATAATGGAGCTGAAAATATCTCAAACTTCATCTATAACTATGCAATTAGCATGCCAAATTTAGCGGTGAGGAACTTCTCATGAATGCTGCTGGTAATGTTCATCAGGCCACAATAAAGCTGATGCACTTTTGCTCTTTGATCCATTTTTAATATCTATTATTTTTAAAGATTATAACACTTAGTTTTTATTGACTGCTGATGTGCAATAGTAGTTTGGGTCGGATCTTTCTGGGATACCCCTTAAGTAGGTAATTTTTACAAACTGCAATACTGATGCCTTCCATGGTTGACTGGTGAAAATTTTCATGGATACAGTACTGTAGTAATGTAATATACTCCCTTGGTCCCAAATTAAGTGTCCCTCTTTTCCTTTTTTTGGAATGTGCTAAAATAAGTGACCCTTTTGATAAGTCAAATGTATAAATTTTGAATTATTCTAAATTATCCTCAAGTTTTGAGAACTTTCTCAAGCTAAGAATGTAGCTCATTAAATTTTATAGGATTAGTTTTGGAGTTTCAAAGGGAGAGTTCTATTAAATACATGTTCCCTTAAGAAATTGGAATCCCTGAAAGGATGCTTATCATGGGACGAAGAGAGTGTTACTTTTATATAATATAACTTGTAGTAAAGTTAGTACCGTAAAATGTATATTGTTGCTTAAGTATATTACTTTATTAGTGTATTATTATATTCTTTATTTAATAGCAGTAAAATATCTTATTGAATTGGTAATATATATAATTATGTTAGTAAATGTTAATAATACGTTAAACTAGGGGAAAGCTAACTTCTCCATCTTCATGGGGAGGTTAAGCTTTGTCCCCAATTTTTAATGAACATATTTACCCTTGATACATCAGTTATAACCATCTCGTAATAAAGGTTAATTTAGTCAATTTAAAATTTAAACCATGCATCTCTTTCACAACGACTCCTAGTCTAAACTCTACAGACAACACAATCGTTGGCACCACCCCTACAATCGGCGGTGTCACCACCACTACCACAACCAGTTACACCACCACACCATCCGCACCTCCATAACCTCTACAATCTCCACCTTCTTAACCACTACCACCAGTTTGTGTATTCTGGCAAATCAACACCACCACCACCACCACAATCAGTAGCATCACCACCACAATCCCCACAACCACCATCACTATTGTGTATTCCGACGAACGAACCCCATAGCCATGGTGGTCACCGGAAATCCAGCCTCAAGACACCACAATCTATACAACCACCACCACTGTCCTCACCCCCACGACCACCACCACCGTCCTCACCCCCACGACCACCACCACCGTCCTCATCCCCACAACCACCACCGCGCACCGCTTGTATTTTGGCAAAACAAATACATCTAAGATCTTGCGCTCGGCAGTGGCGGAGAGGTTAAGGGTTAGATCACCGTGACGGCGGCTTGATTCATGGCGGTGCAGGTTCATGACGACGTGCTTCACCATGGCATGGTTCATGACTGATAGAGAGAGAGGATGTGAGAGGTAGACTGGTAGAGAGAAAGAAAAGGTGGGGAAGATGAAGAGATGGGGAGGTAGTTTTTGAAATTACAAATATGTCCATGTTTTTTATGAGCTGGCAAGTTTTATTGGGTTGTTTTTGTCCAAGAAAAATTGGGGACAAAGCACAACCTCCCCATGAAGGTGGGGAAAAATTGGGGACAGTATGTTATTGAATTGGTAATATTTGTATCTATGTTAGTTAATGTTAATAATACTTTATATATGTATTTTAATTGTATTAGTTATTAAATAATAAGACAATTGGATATATATATATATATCCTGAATTACATCCAATTAAGGCCCATTATTGATGAGATTAACTAAGGTTGTAGATAGGCCCAGATACAGTTCAACTGAAGCTCTGCCCATAATTGACCTAATTGAGCCCAATCTTTTAGCCCGAAACTAGGCCTGTTAGTGGCTTGTAGGACCACAATCACTCGTTATGTGGTCGGGCTCAGGCTTCGCAAAATTCTTTAGTCCTGGTATAAGTTTTGCCTTCTAGGCCAGCCCATTTATGCCCATTGCATAGGGTTTGATAGTAGAGAGCTACTCAACCCACATCTGATGTGAAATGAAAAGGAACACCATCTAGCCTGGTATAAAATGAGTTGCTCTTTATTTCAATTAAAAGATGACCAATTAATCTGATGTAAAAGGAAAAGGAACACCACCTAGCCTAATATAAATTGTGTCATAGTCTTAACTATATTAGTAAGTAAGTAGAAAAAATAAAAATATATATATAAGGCCCGAACGTGGCTCGAGTTTGCACTTTGGTTTACAGAATTTGGGTTGGCACGTGTCTGGAAAGTTGTGGAAGCCCAATGGAATTGAGTCAAGCCAAGTCAGAGCCTGTAATATTTACACCAGCTTGGTCTGGTCCTTTTAACAGATATAGAAATGTCAGTGAGTTGCGGAAAGTGTATTTTGATTGAAGGAATTGGGAATAGAAGGAAGGAAAAGAGAACGATGAAGAGTTATCTTGTGTTTGGCTTAAAAATAAGGTGAAAAAGGAAAATAATAGAAGGAAGGAAGAGGGGTTTGTTAGCTCCTCAAATAGTAGTTTTTCTATCATTCAGAAAGTGGGAGGATTTGGAAAGAAAGGATAAGAGTTAGTGATTACCGGTTTTCTCTCTCTTTATAACAACTGAACTCCTGCGTTGTTAGTTGGGCTTCTAGATCATTTGCCTCGGAGTGGCAGAGCATTCCTGTGGTTCATCCGACATAGAGTCCTGGTTTGCTGCATGATGAGGAGGTTTTGGGGAACTCAGGGACAGTCGTACATTTGGTTAGACAAGGATGGCAACATAATAGGATGGAATGGCATATGAGAGACGGGTTTGGATTTTCGTTGAACGTTAATGTTCAAACAGAACTGAATGCCATCTGACGGTAATAGTGAGGGGTCCAATTAGGTGGCGCTATGTGTTTGGATTGTGCTCCTATGGTGCACCACGATCTGTAGCATGATCCAATGAGGTGATATATATAGGCAAGATGTCACTGAAGTGACTAGACAATCCTAGATGTTGAGTTGAGGTCACCTTGGTATGTCTTGGACTCTGGCCACCAAGCTAAGTGCCCATAGATAGCAGTGGGCCAGCTCTTGTCCACTTACCTCGAAGTGGACTATGATGAATCAACCATGCATTCCTTGGGCTGTACCATACTTATATTCACATAACTTGAAGTGGGACATGGTGCAGCAGTCGTCCATCAAGAGATATACTTTCCTTGAGTCATGTTCCCAACTCAGGCTGTGTACAGTATATAGACTTTGTATTTCAAGCATCATCTTGTAGTAAGCTAATCTCAAAAGTGAATCAAGATGCCTTTTTTTCAACCTTTGAAGTCTTGGGAAATGCCAATTGGAGACATGGCAAGAGGTACTCATCGTAATAATAATGTCGGCAGCGAGGCTTAACTGTAGGGAAGAGGTTCTCTTAATAACTTATTCAGGGGCCTCATTGGAGAGATTGTGCATACGGAAAAAACTACAAGGTCTGTTTGCAGTCTAACTCATATGGATAAACCTAGGAACTGTCCGTTGCATGTGACATATTGCGGCAGGAGAAGCATGCAATAGGGCAATGTTGAAGGCCATAGGCCTACCATATTATTAAATCTTGAGGTATCCTTTGAAACTCCCTTTGTAGTAACTTGTAAAGCCATGTCCAGTGGTTGCTGATTGGGTGAGTACCTGATTACAGTATAAAGAATACTCTGCATTTGTAAGAGTTGTAATTTGGGTTGATATTCCCTCTTGTAACTTTTTGGTCTTATCACTTGTGTGTGTATCAACAGCGTAATCTCAACTTTTGAGGCTATTATATTTTAAGATCTTATTCTTCTAATTTGTCCAGAAGTTATCATTCATTTCCATCTCCATTCACAGTTTTGTGCATTTTAAAGTATTTTCAAAATTGTTTCCATTTTTTGTCTGTTGAAAGTTCATCATGAAACAGAAACAACTTGAAGTGTATGTTGTATCATTTTGTCTTGTTAAATTTAAAATTAAAATTTGAGAGATCTATATGTGTTGGAGAATATTATTATAGGAACCTTAAATTACTCCACAGAATATTGCTCTGAGAATGTTGTAGGAGTGATTTTAGTCTATGATAGAATATGATTGGAGTGATTTTAGTCTATAATAATATTCCAACAATATGCAAATCCTAAAATCTAATGGAATGTATTGATTCAAATCCTTTAAGAAGCCAGTTATTATATATTCGGGGTATTGAAGTTCGAGCACTTTATAGCTTCTTCATTTCCTATTTCTTTCTTTCAACTAGGTGGTTAGGAAATTTACTGTTTCAATAGCTGGTATTAGGTAACCAGTTTGTTCAACTTGTCATAGAAAATTTAGGAATATTTTATTCTTGAATTTTTTTTTTTTTTTTTAAGTAAGATTTTTATAAAAAACGCTTAGAAGGGGAGTGTTCCCAAAGAGCGGACCAAAATCGACACTATAAGCTATCCACAAAATCCAAAAGACAATCCATTGAATTGCAATCCTGCTCATTTACCCAAAAAAAAATAAAGAAGAATATTGTATTTAATAGCCCAAATGGGAGACTCCTCTCCTTCAAAGTATCTCCTATTTCTTTCTCGCCACAGACCCTACCAAATACAAAGGGGAGTGGCCCTCCGAGCATCTCTAACTCGGCTTTCCACTGTACACCCTTTCTAGGTCTCTAACAAGTCGACTATGGATTCTGAGAACACCCATGGAAGCCCAAACGCAACCAAAAACATAGCCCAAACATCCCTAACCACTGAGCAATGAATAAGGAGATGGTTGACAGATTCCCCTGTCTTCTTGCACATATAACACTTGTTAACCACAATATGACTTCTTTTTATGAGGTTATCAATAGTAAGGATGCTTCCCAGAGGAACAATCCACGAGAAGAATGCCATCTTCAGTGGAGCTTTTGTCCTCCAAATGGCTTTCCAAGGAAACATAGGGCAAGGACGCTCCAACAAACATTTGGAGAAGGACTTAACCTCGAACACCCCTCTCGAGTTACCCACCCACAGCATCTCGTCCATGCCCACCCCGACCACCACCTGTCTATAAATGAAGGCTAGGAAGTTTGTAACCTCCAAAAGTTCCCAATCATGAAACTGTCTATGGAACTGCACATCCCAACTCACCCTCCTATTATCGAGATGATAATAATCAGCGACCACAACATCTCTAAACACAGCAATCTGGTAAATATGATGGAATCTACTAGCTAAAGTCGAATCCCCACACCATCTGTCTTCCCAAAACCTGACAGTTCTCCCGCTTCTAACTTTGAACCGAATACGTTTGGAGAATTCATGCCAACCTCTACGGATTAGTTTCCAATAGCCCATACCTGCTGGGTTTCTAGCCTCCCTAGAAATCCACCCTCCATCACCCTCCCCATAATGACAAGCTATAACACCCCTCTAAAGCTTGGACCTCTCTCCCCCAAGCCTCCACAACCACTTGCCCAACAATGCTTTATTAAACACATCCAGCCTTCGAATCCCCAGACCACCCTTATTAATAGGGGAACACACCCTCTCCCAGTTAACCAAGTGGTACTTGAACTCATCTCCTAAACCGCCCCACAGAAACTTCCTCTGAATATCATCGAATCTTTGAACTACTATCTTAGGTGTCGGATAGAGCGACATATAGTAGGTCGGTAGATTTTTGAGTGTGCTTTTCATAAGAGTAACCCTCCCCCCTTGGACAATTATTGCTTCTTCCAACCTGCAAGCCTCCTCTGAAACCGCTCAACAATCGGATCCCACACAGAAACTCTCCTTGATGAGGCTCCCAAAGGGAGTCCCGAGTAGGAGATCGGAAGAGATCCAACACCACACCCCAGAGTATCGGCCAAAGCATGGATATCATCCACCTCCCCAACTGGTACGATCTCGGTTTTCACAATGTTAATCTTCAACCCAGAAACAACTTGGAAGCAGGCCAACACGCACCGTAAATACCTCAACTGAAGGAGGCTAGTGGTTTTTAATTGTTACCTTGATTTCTTCACTAGCAGGGGTGGGTACATAGAGTTCACATGATGGTTTCTTTTCCAATTGTTTTAGCCTGAGAGACATGTTGCATTTAGCTGTAATAAGTTTCCTTTTGATTTGGGATACACAAACTGCAATATGAAATATGTATCAGTATTTAAATATTTTAAGTTCTTGATTTTTGTCTCTTATGTGTGTTCACTACTGTTGCCAATTTCATTTTCATTCATTCACTACTTGCTGTTATTTAAAAAAAAGAGTCCTTTCTGTTTATATATCTCGTGTGTTCTGACACTAGGCTGCTGGTTTTTTAAGGTTGAAGATGTCATTTTGACATTCAAAAATTTGCATGCAAAGTTGGAGGTGACGCCTTCATCCATATCATTTGAGAAGCTCATTAAATTTTCTTGTGATTCACTCAAGGTATGAGATGCAGTTGTTAATCACCGGCCCGCGCCCCCACACCCCACCCCCCCCCCCCCCCCCCCCCCCCCCGCGGCGGCCCTTCTCTCTCTCCTCCAGTTTATATAATGTTTTGTAATAAGCTATATGCTAATTGTTTCAACATAGGTACATGTGGCTCTTGATTTAGTTGATCAGATGTTGGAAGTAGGTTTGACCTCGTCAATAGGGATGTTTCATTCCTTATTAGAAGCATGCGAAGAGGACTGTGAGTATAATTTGGTATGTCGAGTTCTTTCTTCTTTTAGGAAATACTTGCTGTTCTTCACTGATGAGTATGAAGTAGTCTCAGAAATATCAATTGCTAGAATTTTGTGGAATACCTCTTATAATCATCGATGGGAAGTAATATTGAATCTTAAATTTTGCCTCCTATTTCTTATATCTTTCTATCTCTCTCTCTGCAACATCTATAATTTTGTACACAATCAAACAAGTAGAAAATAGAATAAAGACTTGGATATATATATTTTTTATTGTATAGATAATACCTTGTTAAGTAAACCTGATTCAAATAACTAATTGAATATGAATACCTGAAACTATTAAGCTTGAAATTAACTTTATATCTTTCTCACTATTTATATTTTGTTGCCAGTTTGATTGTTAGTTTATCCTATCAGTATTAGGATTTATGCAGCAAAGTTTTATACTTGTGTTTATGATTTCACCAACTTCCTATTGTCTGTATAGCTATGGACATGTGCTTTAAAAGTTCAATGCTTTTAAATCTCACATGTGAGATGTGACTATTTTATGTTGTTATATTATCTATAAATTTTGGTCATTAATCCCCAGTACTGTTTGAGTCCATTGCTATTGCACTTGAAGGTATTCTAATGTTCCTTCTCCCCCTCTCCAAATGATTGAAAGGTTCGGCGAATCTATTCAGCTATTTGTCGCCATAAGTTGAAACCAAATTGTGAGACCTTCAGGATTATGATAAATTTGTGTGTGAGAATGAAAGATGTAAGTTCTCTTCTGTTGCATTTGACATAGTGTTCATACTTCACTTATAAAAAATAAAATAAAAAAATGAAGACACTGCGTTCTTATTTTGATATTAAAAGCATAACAACTATGTGTTTGTTCCATTTCTTTCCTCTTAATTGCAGTTTGATGGTGCATATGGCATGATTGTTGATCTGCAAAAAATGAATTTGACGCCCACAGCTAGCATGTACAATGCTATAATGCTTGGATACTTTAGAGAGGTGAGTTGCTCAGTTTATTGAGATGCTCTGGTTGCTCTATTCTGTTTGAATCTTTTGATTTTCTCATTGGTCCAAGATTGGTGGCATCAGCTTCTTGTTTGAGTTGTGACTGTTGCTACTGCATTATATGGTTTATGCTCCATGATAGAAAATCACTATAGTTGGCAACTGTTCTTTTTACTATTTGATGGTTCAATTTTTCTAAGAATGAAAATTATTTCTCGCAGTGGATTCCGAAGGCTCTGTTCAAATGAACATTCTGAACAGTCCTTCTTGTGTGCCTTTAAGGGACTTACATACACACGAATACACATTACTTACACGTACTGCAAGGTGGTGCAAGTGCAACTAGATGGATTCAATTTAATAAAAGAATACTGAGTTTTTTTTCTCGTGGAAATCTAAACAAAAGGCTATATAGGATCTAGTTGAACCTATATAGAAGACGATTTTTAACCGGGGAACCACATACTGGTGGCTGGGTCAACTAAAATACGTTGGAGAATCACTCAGCTCTTTTATTTAGGAATTACTCAACTCAGAGAACTATATTTATCTGGTGATTAAGAATGCTAAGAGTTCTTTGTTTGGGTGGATTGGGAGGGGGGTTGGGGGATTGATAAGTGATTAAGAATGCTGAGAGTTGCCAGATCATTCATTTCATTGTAAAAGGAAAATACAATAAAGAATTTAGGGTGCTCAAAAGATTCATTAAATATGTTAGTGTTATGTTCATTTGCTTAGAAACTTAGGTCCATAACTAAAGCCACCTTTTACTAAGTCAAACAAGAGATAGATTGGCTGAGAGAGGGGATGGCAATTTGTTGTTGAGAGATTCAGTATTTATTCGTTTTTGTTTTTCTTTTTAGTTGTTTGCTAAAGGATTTCTTATCGTCCTCTCTTTTGTACTCTCATACTCTTCTATTGAATAAAATACTTTTTTCTTATCAAGAAAACAAATTAGGAAAAAAAATGACAAATCCAGTGCACGAGGCTCCTGCCATTGCAGATTCTGGAGAGGGTCAGATGTCCACATCCCCTTACCTCCGCATGCGGATAGGCTGTGACCTCCAGGTCACAATGGAGCAACTTTGCATCGCATGGAAGTTGTGTATTTTTCATGTTGCTTATGTTTCAAGTGATAATGATGCCTACTATAGTATTGGTTTTGTGGTAGGTTCCTATAATTATGACTTAAACCTATTATACCTTGTTTATTGTTTCCTGTGCTGAGTTATGTAGAATAATAGCATCAAAAGCTGTTCAGCTCAAAGATCTCATATTCTGGATTTATTTGTTTTTCTTTTGGTTCTTGTTGTTTATTTATGAAGGATTTCTCATCCATCTCTTGGCTGCATTCTTTTGTCCTTATATGGAATAAAATTCCTGTTTCTTATAGATAAAAAGGAAACATAAAATTTCAGGTCTTCAGGATCTTATGTGTTTTTTACATCATATGGCTGTTGTATCAGAAGTTGCTTATGGTTCAGATAATATCATTACACTGATGCCTAATGTCACAGTGGTGTTTTTGACACTTGCTATGATTTTAACTCAAAAACTACTGAGTTTCAGTCACTTTTATTACTGTTCTATGCACTATATTGTCGAGCTATGTAGAATAGCGTCAAAAGCTGTTTAGCTTGAAGAGTTAAGGATTAATTTTGCTACTGTTTTTTCACGTGTTTTGTGCTTTACTTCCTCTGTTGCTGAATTCTCTGCAGAAAAACTTTTATGGTGGCTTGATGGTTCTCAAGCAAATGGAAACGGCAGATGTTAAACCAGATGCTCAGACTTTCAGCTATCTTATAGGCAATTCTGACCGCGAAGAGAATATAATTAAGGTAGTTTAAAGAGTTTATTTTGTTGAAAGCTTAATTTCTTTCCACTACTGCTGACAGAATACAAGCTTTAATTCAGTGACATTAGATAATATAAACACTCTGCTGTATGCTGTGCTTAGAGTCGTATTTTAACCCAGCAGCCGGTCCAAGCCCAGAAAAAGGAATATTGTATTAGGTAATTGACAACCGGAGCTAAACTTTATCGGACCCCTTATGAACATGAATCTTGAGAATATTGAAGTATAAGTGTTTACCTTGAGCAACCTGTTGTATCAACTTTGGGGTGTTTCTAAACATAGGCAAGGGGGTCACCATCAGATATAATCTGAGTGGTGAAAAATGATAAGGTTGTTCTACCATTTTGGAAGAGCGTTTGTAAAGTAGTCTAAGATAGCTGGTATAGATTAGCAACTTCTTGTATTGGAATATGACAGGTAAAGGGAAGGAGTTGGTAGACACTATGATAGAAGGACCATTATATAACGCCAACAAGAATTTAGATGGGCAGCAAAAAAAGATAGGAAAATTCAAAGTACGGATAAAAAGTTTGTTACACTGAAAAAAATAGGAATAGAAATGGATTAGGGTAAATTACACAGTCACCTCTTGAGGTTTATTCATTTACACACGGTGATTAAGCTTGGACTTTGTTACACTCACACCTGGCAGAGTTAGTGTTCAAACGGTGTTAGAATTCTATGTGAAATGTCAACTTTATCCCTTATTTTAGGGTAAAGTGCGTTAAACCCCCTTGAACTATTGGTCATTTGTAAGAAACCCCCCTGAACTACAAAAAACCTCCCTGAATTATGATTTTGTTGCAATTTACCCCCTTGAACTATTGGTCATTTGCAAGATACCCCCCTGAACTACAAAAAACCCCCCTAAACTATGATTTTGTTGCAATTTACCCCCCTGAACTATGATTTTGTTGCAATTTACCCCCATGACATCAGCTTCCGGTACCGAAAATTTTGAAAGACCAGTTTACCCTTATAACACACTGCGTCGCTTTAACTTATACACTTCTTACATTTTTTTTATTTTTTTTCCTGCCAAAAGATGTTTTTCACCCAACACAACCCAAAACAGAGAGCTAGATAGAGAAATAGAAGAGACCAAAGAAATCTGAGGTCGGTGGGATGGCTCGGTCTCGGATGATGGCGGCTTGTGCGCGGAGGACTTGGCTGTGATGAGAGCTCAGTTGACTAGGTCGTGAACTGTGGAGGCGGCAGCGAGCTCAAGGGGGCTCGGCAGCGAACTGTGGACAGCTGTGTGCTCGAAACACGAACGGCAATGTGCTCGGCTATGGAGATGGCGGAATAGGCCGGCAAGCTTGGAATGGACGGTGGAATGGACCGGCGAGCAAGGTGAGCTGAACAGAGGGCAAGGCGGTGACGGCGATGGGCTGACGCAACGGTGCAGAGAAATGCGATATATATGGCCAACGGATCTGGCGGGTGGTGCAACGGCTATGATGGAGCTATGATAGGAGACCCACCGATCCCAGCAACAAATTCCTCGGCTTCATCGTCCCTTTCAGTCAATCAATTCGCATAGATGGGGTAAACTGCAAAAAAATATATAGTTCAGAGGGGTTTCTTGCACATACCCCAATAGTTCAGGGGGGTTTTTTGCAACTTTTATAGTTCAGGGGGGTTTCTTGCACACACCCCAATAGTTCAAGGGGGTTTTTTGCAACTTTTATAGTTCAGGGGGGTTTCTTGCACATACCCCAATAGTTCAGGAGGGTTTAATGCACTTTACCCCATATTTTATAATAGCTTTTTTAACCAAAAATATCTTACTCCTGAAATTACTAAAAGACCCATAACTAAATACTATTCCCTTCTCCGTCTTCATATTCTCTCTCTAGCCTCTGCACCGACACATCTCCCCCCCCCCCCCCCTCCTCTCTCTCCCTCCCTCCACCACTGCCGCCACCTCCTCTCTCTCTCCACCCGCCCGTCCCCACTGCTGCCACCCTCTCTCTCTCTCTCTCCACCGCCTAAGGATATCGGATTGGATTAAGGTTTGTAAGCTTCAAATCAGGAATGGGAAATTTGGAATTGGGTCGTGGTGGAGATGGATCCGCCTGCTGTGCTCAACGACAGTGCCTTTCAATTCATTATAAAAGCTTTAACCATAAAATAAATAAAAAAAAGGGAAAATTGTTGCGTTGGGTTACATGTTTATATTTATATATATACATTCTTGAATACTGTGGGTTAAATTTGATATTTAGATATTGGAGTTAGGTTTCTGCGAATTTGTTTTTGCATATTTTATTTTTGTTTTTGAATCTTTAATCATATATTTGGGTATGATGGTTGATTTGGTTGGGTTTTCTCTTCTTTATTCTTCATTCTGGAGATGAGATCTCTCAAATTGGAATTGGGTTACATTGGTGTGTGTATATATATAGATATGTATATTATAGGTTTTTATTTGTCTGATTTGGTTGAAGAAATTACACAATGAAATTCTCTAAGTCAACAAAAAGCTTAAAAGTTAAAATGCTATCAAGTCTACCAAAAGGGTGATAGTTGTGCATCAAATTGATTAAAGGATAGACGGATACATAGATACACATAAAGAGAGATTTTTCCATCAACAACTGAAACAAGAATATGGCAAGGGTGAACTTGAAACAAATAATGGGTGTTAACCAAAGGTTGTAGCCTAGTGGTACTTCCTCGCCTTCAAAAGTAGAAGGTTGAGGGTTCAAGTCCTCATAGGGGGACCCGTTATCTCCTTTTCTTTTCCTTATTGTGATGGAGGCTTTCAGCAAAATGATGTGAAGGGTAGTTGATTTGGGTTTGTTGAGAGGTTTCAGGGTTGGTAGGGATCTTGCTAGTCAGATGGAGATCTCTCATTTGATGTTTGCGGATGACACCTTGGTTTTTTGTGATGCGGATGTGTGTTAGATGAGATATTTGATATGTGTTCTGATTTGGTTTCAAGTCGTTTTTTGTTGAAAGTTAATGTGGGCAAAAGTGTCTTAGTGCCGGTAGGAGAGGTTCCAGATATCTCTACTTTGGCTCTTGTTTTAGGTTGCAACACTGGTTCATTACCCATTTCTTATTTGGGTCTACCTCTTGGAGCTTTATCCAGGAGTGTGCGTAGTTGGGATCCAGTGGTGGAGAGGTTTGAGAAACGGCTTGCCGGGTGGAAGAAACAGTACCTCTCCAAAGGGGGGAGGGTTACTCTTTTGAAGAGCACTTTAACGAGTCTTCTTACGTACTTTCTTTCAATCTTCCAGACTCCCTCTTCAGTGGCTGAAAGGATTGAGAGGTTGCAGAGGAATTTTCTGTGGGGTGGTAAAGGGGAGGAGTTCAAGTATCATCTGGTACAGTGGGAAATGGTCTACATTCCAATTCAACAAGGTGGGTTGGGAGTCAGAAGATTAGTGCCTTTTAATAAGACCTTATTGGGTAAATGGCTTTGGAGATTTGGGATAGAGAGAAACGTACTCTGGAGGAGGGTGATTGTGAGCGAACATGGGAAGGCGAGAGGGTGGTGGCACACCCCCGGTGTTAGATTGCCTTATGGGATTGGGGTTTGGAAACACATTCAGAAGGGGTGGGATGAATTCTCTAAGCACATCAGATTTTGTGTCAGACATGGCAGGAGTATACGTTTTTTGGATGACATTTGGTGCGGGCATAATTGTTAAAGGCTCAAGGCGCACAAAAGCGCAAATGCCTCCTGGAGCCTGAGGCGCAAGGCGAGGCGCGTGCCCGACTGAAGCAAGGCGCACATTGAAAAAAAAAAAAAAAACAAAACCCACCCAAGGATGTGATATATTTTCAAATCAAATCAATCTCATTTTTTTTGGTTAATCTTCAATTCAAAAGATTATTGGTGGCTGATTTCTGAATCAAAGGATCAATTATGGGTCTAAATTAAACATACAAAACTCTCAAATACAAAAAATTCAATGATAATTTGCAGTAGGGTTCGTGAGATAGGTGTCTTATAATCGGGAGCCCAAGATTAGCCAATTTATTTTTGTTCGAAGTTTGTTAAGAATTCTCCATGTTTCATCAGCTTAATTCTCACCAAAATCCATTAACATTGATTGAAACAAAATGGAAAGAAAGAACCATCCAAGCATGACCCATTCAGTATGTTTCAAAACCAAAAGAATATCATCAGTACTTAGAAAATTCTGGATGGCAAATAATAAAGAAAAGAAAACTACAAAATTGGATTTCTTTTTATTATTTTTTATTTTTTATACACGTAATAACAACACTTGTGTTGTAAGACAAGTAATTACTTGGTGAAAACTTGATCATAGACAATATGATGGTGGTCCATCCGACAAATATACAATATGAAGTGAACAACATATTAACGTGTTAGATAAATAGAAACTTAGAATGGAAAAATAGTGATCAACAGTCGTCACAATGAGTCCAGAGTCCAGAGAAGAAAAGAAAAAAAATAAAATAATAAAATAAATAAAAAAAGAAGAAAAATAAAAATAAAAATAAATCTGCCAAAGACTCGGCCGAGAGAGCCGAGAGAAGAAAAGAAAAGAAGAAAAGAAGAGAAGAAAAGAAGAAGAAGAAGAAGAAAAGAAAAAAAAATCTGAGATTGATCACCGATCCGGCAGATCCGAGAAGAGAAGGAGTCTAAGAGGAGAGGAGGAGAAGAAGAAGAAGAAGAACTAACCTTAGATCCGGCAGATGATGCAGATCCGAGACCGAGAGTCGGAGTCCAAGTCGTCAGTCGTCTCGCTGCCTCTGTCAGTCTGTCTTCTTTCCTTTCCTTTTTGCTTCTCTTTTTTATTTTATTTTTTATGTTGCAACTTGTAGCTTTTCTTTTAACTAGTAACTAATAAAATAATATGATAATAATATAAACAATACATAAACAATAAACAAACAAAACCATGGAAACAAAACCATTTAAAAAACATTTTCAAGTAGGCGCGCCTTTAGCGCGCCTATAGTCTCGCGCTTGTGTACAAAAGGCGTACGCCTTCTTTCAAC